ACATTGTCTCGCAACCTTAATGGACTGGTCAGCAGGATATAACCTAGTCTCGGTGGCTACTGGGATCAAGAGTAATCGAAAAAGTTTTATTTGGTGTTAATAGTCTTTGCCTCACCATTGAAACCTGTTCTGCGCATCCGAAAGTTAGTACACAAATTAGTCGAACAAGCTTTATTTTGATGTGTACTGTAGATGGTATACTATGTGATATAATAAGATAAACTGTATCCCTAATCTAGTTATATCGTTACAACATGTGATAATCGACAGTGTTGAAGTCCCAGTAACGTCATATTAAAATCTTCAAAATTATCTTTTGATAACTTAACACTCACCTTCTACACTGCGCAGAATAGTTGTTTAAAAATGTACTCATAACGATCACTGCTGCTCAATCAGATGTTCCCTTATTAGCAAAATCCCCTTCAGTTGTTTTTAAAATAATTATTGTGATGGGATAAGTTGTTCAATTAATCGAATTTCAAGAATGGGATGCTTTGGCGACACAATATGTATTATCTTGGCCCATCCAATGATTTTGAAGTGATTGAGATTTGGTATGTAATCGTTTGGACAAGTTTTCTTTTCCGCATTTTTCACATGTTCTGGATCATTTGTGCGCTGAACGCGAACATCATTTGCAATTACCGTTTGCTTAGGGGGAAATCGCTAAGTAGGAGGGGCCTAAACGCCCGGAGCCATTTTATTGCTTATCGCGGCGAATCAGTTTGAATTTAGAGAATAGCTTGATCGAAGGGTTGGCCATGATCTGATGAGAACTCCAAAACCGTTGTCAGGATACTACCGTTAAGTGGCACTTTATTTTTTTGGACACAGATTTTACCATAACGCTTAGTGAGTAATGGGGTAAGTGGTTATGCTAATTACGAAAATCATATCTTTGGACGATAAGGCTTATAGTAGGATTACACTAATACACTGCAGGATCAAAGCCTTTGATCTATCTGAAAGTTGCTCTACTGAAGTTTATTAAGCCTATACCACAAAAATCAAAACCATTACTTATGGCAAAGCCATTTATTGTGGTAGGTATAAAGTTACTCAATTTTTTCCCTTAAGGCATATAGGTGATTTCGGCCTTAACACCGTACATCTATCAAAATTATATAGTGAAGAGCTATTTTGTAATATGCTTACGATTTCTATTATAACCATTCCAT